GTGGAGCAGCGCCAGACGCTCCTTGGGCACTTTGAGGCGCTGGGACAGCCGCTTGCGCAGCCCCTCCACCGTTTCGTCGGGGGGCACCGACAGGTCGTAGCGGGTCCCCGTCGTGCTGTGGATGGCCAGGCTCATGGGCGCCGCCTCGGCCGCTGGGCCCAGCTCGCAGGCACCGCCGGGGGCCCCGCGCCGGCAGCTCCGGGCGCCGCCGGGCTGCGGCTCCATCCCCGGCGAGCGCTGGGGGGCTGGGGGCCGCGGGGCTCCGCCAATCCTCGCCGCGCCTCTGGGACCCGGACTCTCCCAAAACGGGGTTCTTCTTCTCTGGGTGTTTGGGGGGCGGGGGGGCAGTGCGTTTGTCCCTCGGGCAGGTCCCAGCGGTGAAAAGCGAGTCGGAAATTAAAAAATCCGAGTGGCGCTCAGAGGTCGCGTCGGCTTCTCGGGTTGCGCCCCGGGGTGGGGTCTGGGCTTGCAGTTCCTCCGAGGGCGATGGGTGGCGACCCTGGTGCGGCGCGGGTCCCTGAGGAGGGGCTGCCCTGGCCAGGCGGGCTCGGTGCTTATGCTGCTCGGGTCGCGCTACCCGGCGCGTCCCCTCCCTTAGCAACAGCCGCGGCAGCCGCTGCTCGCAGGATCTGGGGGTGAAAGTAACAAGAAAAAAAAAGTTATAATGTATCAACGTTCCAAGGGGCGGGGCCGCCGCCCCCTCCCATTCACTACTTACTCCGCCGGCCATGCTCCGGCCAATCGGCGCACGCCGAACGCCCAGTCGGCTGCGCTCCCGAACCAATGGGAGCCACCTGGGTACTGCCCCACGTGGCAGCACGCCCTGCCTCTTCCCCCGCCCCCGTCGGCAGACTGCCCAATAGAAGCACGGCAAGGGCGGGGCTGGCACTGCACCCCTCCCCCCCCGCCCCCGTCCGCGCTGGGAGCCATTCATAAGGCCCTGAGTCCGCAACAAAGGGCGGGCGGGCCCAGAGGGGCGCGGGACCCCGGTCTGAGGTTGAGCTGCCTTCCCTTAGGGCCTCCTAGGGGAGCGGCCTTGGGCGTGGAGAGGGGGCGCGGGCCATTGTTCCTAGAGCCTTGAGAGGCAGGAAGTAGTGGAGCCTCCCAGTCGATTATGTCAGGAAACTTGCAACCAGCGGAAGCCCGAGCTTGAACTCGGCGCGCCTCGTGGCTAGGGTCCCCAGCCCAGAGGCTCACGAGGACTGGCTAGCCAGCCTCCTGGCCTCCGTGGTTGGGTGGGCGTGGAGGCCTGGGCGGGGCGCCTGGCTAGGGTGGGGCCCCGCACCCCGTGACGTGGCCACGACCGGGAGCGCCCGTCCTGAGCCGGTGCCACCTCGCGTCCCAGCAGCCCGCCCACCCCCAGCTCCCCATCCTCCCCTCCTCCCTCCGGGACGGGCCCGTTTCCCGAGAGGCGCCCGCCCGAGCCATGACGTGACGCGGCGTCCCCGGCTGCGCCCGCGCGCGCCGCTCAGGGCAGCGGTGAGTCAGCAGCTCCGGCGCGCCCTCTTCTGGCGCTGCCCGGGAGCGAGGCCCTGGGTCCCCGAGGAGGGGGCGCCGCACGGCAGAGCAGGGGAAAGGGCACCGGGATTGCGGGTCTGGGCTGAGCCCCGCTGGGGGACTATCGCGTCTACGCGCCAAGGCTGGCCTGACAGCAGCGGAGGAAACGGGCCAGAGCGGCAACTAGTTCAAGGTCACTGGCGCGGAAGGGGGGAGTGCCCCGGGGGGCGGGGCGGGGGCTGCGGTCCTGCCAGGGCGGCGCCCCTCCCACCCCGCCGCGGGGCGAGGGGCTCCGGGGCTTTGGGTCTTGGGTCCCCCACGCCCTGCCTGCCCCAAGAACAAAGAAAAGTAGGGCACTCTGTACAGTCTCGACAGGACCCCTCCTGTCCGCGAGGTCCCGCCCCCCACTCACCGGGCGCGGCAGTTCTTGGGTCCCTGTGGTTCCGCGCGAGCGACCGACGGCGGGGACAGTGCGCGGTGGCCAGGCCGGTCTGGGGCCGGGCGGGCGGCCCCGGAGCCTTTATCCGCGCCGCCTTCCCTCGGGGTGGAGTTTGGGCGGGTAGGGGGCGGGGGGCCGGGCAGGCGGTGACGCAGCTGGCCCCCGCCCCTGCTGGCTGGCCAGGGCCCCGGGGCACACCGGCGGCCCGGGACACCTAGCTCAACTTCGAGCCTCAGTGATACGAGGGGCAGGATCACCGAGCCGGGGTCGTCGGGCTTTGTTGTGGACCCAGATGCTCCCTGAGACCAGGTTTGAGGGCGTCCGGCCGGGTTCCCGGCCGCTCCCCCTTTCCTGCCAGCTGGTGCTTCCGCCTGGGGGCGCCCGTGTAGGGGGGGGATGGGAAGGGGAGGGCTGAGTCAGCGGCCGCTGTCCAGGAAAACAGGCTGGAGTCACCTGCCAGGCAGCGGGGTGCCCCAGCTTGCTGCTGGGTAGCCTGCCCTCCTGCATCCCTTAGCGGTGACCTCAGAGGGCATTTCTGGAGAGATTAAGGCAGCACGGAGGGCCGTTCTAGTCACCACTGGCTGTGCTGTGTGACAGAGTGAAGACCTGGCCTCTCTGAGCCAGTTTATTATAGCATGACCAAAGCAGCGAAATGAGAATTCGGAGTGGCTCGTTCTGATGTCTTCTGAGTGATGCTGTCATCCCATGAATGTGTGCACACCTCCTGGTCCCCTATCTTAGGGGTGGGCAGGCCCACAGCACTATGGGGACCAATGCCATGGACAAAGACTCTAGTGCTTGAGTGCCTCGGGTTCTTGCACAGGTGGCCCTGACTTTCCCAGAATGATCCTGGTCGGTTGTTGAGCAAGGCTTTTCCCCTGTCCCCTTTGCCCAGAGAAAGGGACCGTGGGTCCTATCCCACCTCCTGTCCACTATCTAGTTCCTGCCTTTATCTAGCCTGACCACCTCTATCCCCACCCTTGCCCTGTGCACCCCTCCCAGGGCTGTTTCCTTTCAGGTCTCCTTTTGGCTCCCATCCCACTCCATTCCTGCAGCCTCTGACTCCCCACCCTGAAGCAGGTGTATCCAGGCACTCCCGGCTTCACAAGGATCAGTGCCAGGCCAGGGGAGCTGGAAGAATGCTTGGAAGAGGCTGGGGAAACAGCCTGGCCACTGAGCTACAGCTCAAGGAACAGTTCAGAGTCAGTGGTGGGAAAGGCTGCTGAAGGGGCTTTGGGTCCAGGACCTGCTTGTTCTACTTCGAGGCCATAGTGGTGGGAAGGGAAGAGGTGCATTCTGGGAGCAAGGGCACTAGTGCTGGTCCAGTTCCCTGGGTTGGGGTTACTGTAGTGTGAGCATGATTGTTTGCTAGAACCTTGGTACACTTGTCACCTCGATGGTGTGACCTCAGCCTGGTTGGAGTATAAAATTGAGGAGCTGAAAGCTGGGCACCAGTGGCTCACACCTATAATCCTAGCTACTCAAGAGGCTGAGATCTGAAGACTATGGTTCAAAGCCAGCCTGGGCAGGAAAAGTCCGTGACTCTTATCTCTAATTTTAAACTAACAAAATCTGGAATTAGATCTGTGGCTCAAGTGGTACAGCACTAGTCTTGAGCAAAAGAGCTCAAGAACAGTGCCCAGACCCTGAGTTCAAGCCCCAGGACTGCACGTGCATGTGCATGTGCGCGTGCACACATACACACCCCAAGTACAAAAAAGAACTGGAGTAGAATGTGGCCTCTTGAAGACAGGACACTTTGGCTGTTCAAAATAAAAGTTTAGAAATACCCCAGCTCACTCCTGACTTTCCTTCCCATGTGGTATCTCTGCTTTTTGTCCCCAGGTTGAGTAGAAGCCCAGAGACATTGGGGAAGGGTCAGCCCTTTGTGGATCTGCCCCTACCAGACCTAGGGCCTGCCAGCCCTCTAGGATGCCAGACCTACCCTGACTGCCTTGGCCTACCTCCAGTGCTCACATCTCCCCTTTGGGAGTGGCCTAGCTGTGTCCCTGTGGATTAAGGACAGAGGGTCCCTGGTTATGAAGTGTGTTAGCCTCAGAGACAGGAAGCTCAATGACAGTCTCCTCCCACTGGGCCAATGCCAAGCTGAACTGTGTCCTTAAGTCTTATTTATAGTGTCGTGGTGGCCTGGCCAGGACCTGGTCTCTGCTGAGAAAGGAGGTGGGGCCTCAGCAGGAAGGCTGTACCTGGTACTGAGGCTACCACACCTCTGGGCAAGAGCTCCCGGGGAAGGGATGGGCCAACCACTTGCTTTCAGATCCCAGATGAGAACCCAGAAATACTACAGGATCTTCTGACTGGGGACAACCCCAACACAGTCTCATCCAGAGTCACTACCACGGGGCTGTGACAAAGAGGGACCGCCCACTGGCGCACAGAGGCCACACACAGGCCTGGGGGTGGATGCCAGGTCACTGTCCTGGCTCCAGTGACACAGGCAGGGAGCAAGCCCTGACTCCATATACTCACCCTCCTGGAATCCCCTCCCAGCCTCACGGAGGCAAGGTGGGAGGAGGGAAGCCCAGACCGATTCCCTCAGCCAGGGCAGTGACTGTAGCCCCAAGGTTGCAGAGGAGGTAGGGCAGTGCCCAGCAAGATAGTTCCAGAGCTGCCCCTACCTGAGCTCAGCCCACCCCATCTGGGACTAGCCAGGGGCCTGTGTACCCAAAGAGGTGCCAACACCACCGGGGATTTGGGGCAGCTGGCCAGGCCAGGGCCACCCACAGTCTGGGTGTGCCCAGGGAAGGGCCTCTGTGGGAGCAGATGAGGACCGCCTCTTCCCAAGGCTTGCCAGGGAGGGGTTAGGAAGCCACTGAAGGGAGGGCCTGGTGTTACTTGTGGTCAGGGCTCCAAATCTACAGACCCAAAACATGCATCAGCCCAAGCCTAACCCCAGTAGCCAGTGCCACACCTTTCCCTGCCCTCCAGCCCACCCTGGGTCTCAATCCTTACCCATCCACACCCTGTGGGAAAAATGCCAGCTCCCTGCCCACCCCAGCTGGCCAGCCAAACTGTGCCCTTGAACTGTGTTGTTTTTTTTTGGGGGGGGGGTCATGAGGGCTGAACTCTGGGCCTGGGCGCTGTCCCTCAGCTCTTCAGCTCAAGGCTAGTGCTCTACCACTTGAGCCACAGCACCACTTCCAGCCTTTTCTACTTATGTGGTGCTGAGGAATCGAACCCAGGGCCTCATGCATGCAAGGCAAGCACTCTACCACTGGGCCACTATCCCAGCCTTTTTTTTTTTTTTTTGGTCGGTCATAGGGCTTGAACTCTGGGCTTGGGCGCCGTCCCTCAGCTCTTCAGCTCAAGGGGAGCCCTCTACCACTTGAGCCACAGCGCCACTTCCGGTTTTCTGGTGGTTTATTGGA